ATTAAATAATAATTCAGTGGTATAGGCATTTAAATATAATTAAATATTATTAAATAATAATTTAAATGGCTATTGGGGGCCCTTTTATCGTAGGAGGAGCCCGCAGGGCACGTGTTGCTGCTGTTAAGATCTGCTGCTGCTGCTGCTGCTGCTGCAGCTGGGGCTGGCAGCAGCAGCAGCAGCAAGACAGAAAACAAGATAAATATAAAATGCTTATCTAATAGCCTCTTTTCTTTTGTTTTTTTTATGTAGAGGGACCTTCATAGTGCAACGGGGGGCCCTCTTCCTAGCCCTGAGGTGTACATACACCTCATTGGCCGCATGCGCTGCGCTTCGATCCTGTAGCAGCAGCAGCAGCAGAAACAGCAGCAGCAAGCCGAAGCCTCTCTTTGCTCTTGGCCAGTATTACCTTATGGTAAACAAGGGTTTAGATCTTTAGAGGAGTAGGGGGGTGCCCGTCTACCGGCAACAGCAGCAGCAAAAGCAGCAGCAGCAGCAGCAGCAGCAGCAATTGCTGCAGCACCTGTACCTGCAGGAAGCAGCATGGCTACCTTGATGTAGCGAAGACTTTGTAGTGTACAGCTTATATCAATTCAAGAAGCAACTGCAGCAACAACAGCAGCTGCTGCTGCACTAACAGCAACAGCAGCTGCAACAGCAGCTGCAGCAGCAGCAGCAGCAGAAGCAGCAGCAGCAGCAAAATGACAACAGAAGCTGCAAAGGGGGCCTTATATTCTCCCTCTCAGCTCGATGCAGAGCCTAAAGACACCGTGCTGCCCCCATGGCGGCGTGGGGATAACAGCAGCAGCAGCAGTAGCAGCAGCAGCAGCAGCAGCAGCAGCAGCAATTGGAGCTCTGCTGTAACACCGGCTGAAGCTACCCATAATGGCAGCAGCAGCAGCAGCAGCAGCAGCAGCTCAGAAGCAGCAGCAGCAGCAGGAGCACCACGAAGACGCCGCTTCGATGTACGCCCACCAAATGAGAGTGCTGCTCCCTCAGCAGCAGCAGCAGGAGCAGCAGCAGCAGCAACACCAGCAGCAGCAGCAACCCCAGCAGCAGCAACACATCATACATCAATAGAATCCGAATCATCAGGAGCAATAGAAAGAGGGACTCCGCATGCACAGCAGCAGCAGCACCACCATCATCATCAGCAGCATCACCAGCAGCAGCAGCAGCAGCAGCAGCAGCAGCAGCACAGACGTCCTTATGAAGGAAGCAATTATTATCGTGATAGAAATAAAGATAGAGATTTCTATCGGGATCGGGATCGGGATCGGGATCGGGATCGAGTGTGGGGTAGAGATAGAGATAGAGAAAGAGATAGAGAAAGAGACAACAGAGAAAGAGACAGAGAAAGAGACAACAGAGAAAGAGACAGATATAAGGAAAGAGACAGGGAGAGGGACAGGGACAGAGACAGAGACAGGGAGAGAGACAGGGAGAGGGACAGGGAAAGAGACAGGGAGAGGGATAGGGACAGAGACAGGGATAGGGGCGATAGGGACAGAGACAGGGATAGGGGCGGGAGGTATAGGAGTATGCCAAGGAGACAGACCACCCTTGAGGAGCAGCAGCAGCAGCAATTGCAGCTGGAGCAGCAACTGCAGCAGGAACGACTGCAGCAGGAACGACTGCAGCAGCAGCAGCAGCAACAGCAGCAGCAGCAGCGAGACACTCCAGGGGGAGGTTGGGCTCCGCTTCCCGTCTTTTCTCCTCCAGAGCCACCTAGACGTGAACCGCAGCAGCAGCAGCAGCAGCAGCAGCAACAGCCGCAGCAGCAGCACGATGCAGCAGATACTCCTGGTGCAGCAGCAGCAGCAGCAGCAGGAGCAGCAGATGGTGGTGCCCGCCGCAGCCGTCGTCTTGCATCAAGACGAAGTCTTAGCCGCAGTGTGTCTCCTTTTATGGGGAGATTAGGCCCTAATAAGGACAGCAGCAGCAGCAGCAGCAGCAGCAGCAGCTGCCACAACATTAGCAGCAGCAGCGGCTTCTTTTATTGTAATTTACCTTCTCCTTCTGTTATGTCTCTCTCTGATGATGGCGCAGATGCAGCAGCAGATGCAGCAGCATTTGATTCTGCTGCTGCTGCTGCTGCTGCAGATGATGATGCAGCAGCAGCAGATACAGCAACAGGAGCAGCAGCAGCAGCAGATGCTGCTGCTTCTGCTGCTGATGGTATTCTTAAGGTTAAGGGTGGTGCAGCAGCAGCAGCAGCAATGGGGGGATCACAAGATTATAACGAAAGTCTGCTGGACCCCTGGAAGCAGCAGCAGCAGCAGCAACCGCAGCAGCAGCAACAGCAGCAACAGCAGCAACAGCAGCAGCAGCAGCAGCAGCAGCAGGAGGGGGCCCCACAGATGCCCGCTATGAGTGCTGTATTAAGGCCCTCTATACAGGCGCTGCTAGCTACAACAAAAGGTGCTGCTGCTGTTGCTGTTGCTGAGGCCCTCTTAGTACCTAAGGAGCTGCAGCAGCAGCAGCAGCAGCCAGGTGCTGCTGCAGGGGAGCAGAGTCCTGCTGCTGCTGGTGCTGCTGCTCTTAGTCAAGGGGTGCAGCCAGAACAGCTGCTGCAGCAGTATCATGAATATTATCAGCAGCAGCAGCAACAGCAGCAATTGCTGCTGCAGCAGCAGCAGCAACCTTTAGAGCCCCATCCGCTGCTGCCACCGCGTCCTGCTTCTGCTGCTGCTGCTGCTGCTGCTGCACCTGTTGTAGATATAGCGCTGCTGCGCAAGATAGAGAAGCTGCAGCAGCACCAATTATGTTTGAATTGTAAGGGTCCTTTGCTGCCTGAGGGTACCCCAGCAGCAGCAGCAGCAGCAGCAGCAGCACGCAACAGCAGCAGCAACAGCTTGCTGCTGCTGGGGGTCTGCAAGGGTTGTCTAAGACATGTAGGCAAGACTGCCTGCTGTCATTGCGGTGTCGATTTTATGCAACATAAATGTGCCCTACAGGTACGAGGGTTTAGGGTTTAGGGTTTAGGGTTTAGGGTTTTTTTTTTAATTCATTCCCTTTACCTGAAATTAGTGTTTAGGGTTTAGGGTTTAGGGTTTAGGGTTTGTGTGTTTTCTTAGGTGGAGAAAGCGTTGGGGAGGCCCGCGTGTTTATCTTGCGCTAAGCAAATCGCTAAACACCGCAAGGAGCCTCAAATGTACATATTAGGGTTTAGGGTTTAGGGTTTAGGGTTTAGGGTTTGGTTGATTCTGTATCTGTTTTTTTTCTTCTCGCTGTTTCTCCCCTTGGGTGTCTGTCTCTCTTGTGTCTCCTTTGCTTTTCTGTCTCTTTTCTTTTTATTTCCTCTCTTGTTTATTATAAGTCCTTTTTTAGGGTTTAGGGTTTAGGGTTTAGGGTTTAGGGTTTGTGTGTCTCCTGGTGCAGCTGCCGTTACTGCCGGTGTTGGTCTGCTTGGAGCGAAGCCAACGAATGCCAACGTTGCCGATCCCGCATTGCAAGGTAAATAGGGTTTAGGGTTTAGGGTTTAGGGTTTAGATATATGTATATATAATGATGAGGTAATAGATGATAATTAGGGTTTAGGGTTTAGGGTTTGCATAAGACCATTTATATTGTTGCTAAGAATGAGCAGAATAGATTGGTGTTTATATAATCTGCATCCCTGTTGTTGTTGCTGCTGTTGCTGCTGCTGCTGCAGACACGGGTTACCTAAGAAGTGTAGCCGCTGCGGGTGCGAGGGAGCCTTCCCTCATTCACGACCTGCATTAGGGTTTACAAACACTTATTTATGTTTTCTTTGTAATTGGTGTATAAAAAAGGAGTTAGCTGCAGCAGCAAAACAGCAGCAGAAGCAGCAGCAAACCCTTTTGTTACTTGGACCAGGAAAGGTTGGGGATCTACAGGATACTGTTGATGATGGACCATTGCCTCTCCCATTACTGCGTCTCCAGCAGCAGCAACAGCAGCAACAGCAGCAGCAGCAGCAGCAGCAGCAGCAGCAGCAGCAGCAGCAGCAGCAACTGCAGCAGCAGCAACAACAACAAAGTCTTAGGAGGGGAGGATCTATAGATGACCCACAAAGGGATGAATTCACTGGCGGGGCAAGTCAGGTATTTTACTCCTGCTGCTGCTGCTGCTGCTGCTGATGCTGATGCTGCTGATGTCTTTGCTTCTGCTGCTGTTGCTGCTCCTGCTGCATTTATTTATTTATTTATTCTTTTTTATACAGATAGATAAACAAGGAGAAATAAGTACTCAATTATTTATTTATTTATTTATTTATTTATTTATTTATTCTTTTTTTTTTCTTTTTTTTTTTATACAGATAGACAAACAAAGAGAAATAAGTAATCAATTAGAAGAATCATTAAGACATCAATTAAAACTTCTTGAGGAACAAATGATACAAAAAGATCTCCTATTACAGGTCATTTATTTATAAACCCTAATTAGGGTTTACAAGTGGTTTAGGGTTTAGGGTTTAGGGTTTAGGGTTTAGGGTTTAGGGTTTAGGGTTTAGGGTTTAGGGTTTAGGGGAGGGGATGGATTGAACGAGGGTCGGGGAGGGGCAGCCTGCTACAGCCTCTAGGGTTTAGGGTTTAGGGTTTAGGGTTTAGGCATTTGTATGGATTGAGGGAGAGAATTGGGACCTACTTGCCACAACAGCAGCAACCTCTAGGGTTTAGGGTTTATTAGGGTTTAGGGTTTGTGCATTCAGGAGATGCAGCAGAAGTCTGCTGATTCAGAGAGACAATTGCAGCTCCAGCTGCAGGGCTATCAACGTCATGTACAGCAACTTGTAAGTTATTAGGGTTTAGGGTTTAGGGTTTAGGGTTTAGGGTTTACGCTTTTCTACTCTTTTTTATTTTCTTTTAATGACTATTTATTTATTTCTTTTAATTTATTTCTTTTAATCCTTTCTATTTCCTTTTTATTTATATTTATTTATATTTATTTATTAATTATTAATTAATTAATTAATTTATTTATTTATTTATTTATTTTTTTTTTTTTTTTTTTTTTTTTTTTTTTTTTTTTTTTTA